GGGGAAAATATCAAATTCAAATGTAGACTCGTCCTACTTATGGACGCTCATTTCAAAAAAACAACCACAAACAATACAAGGCTTGTCGCAATCTGGCTTGCAATTTGATTTTCTCATTTCATACTTAAATCTTTGTTGCCTCATTGGGGATTCGATGAAACCGACATCGAGCCCATGGTGCAAAAATGGATGATTTTGGCGCTAATTTAAAATTAAAGAGAGTCGTTTTTTTAAGATCGTGGTCATTGATAATTGCATCAGAGCTATAGAGCTACGTGGTAATTAGACCAAACAGAAATAAGATTATAGATCAAGGCAGTTAATAATTGTTTAGAGTCGAGTTGTGTTATGAGAAAAAGGTTTACAATACTTACATATATATTACACATAGAGTCCGTATTGGCTCAATACTACAATACTACAAGTACATCTATATATTTTTTACCTTTTGTTTCATTTTAATGATCTGTGGGCATTATATTCTCTATGTTGCCTGTTTGGCCAAGCAAAAAATTTACAGCCTTTTTGGATACAATTTGCGACAAATCGGGGCACTTTTGAAGAATTTTAAAATGATGATATTGCTATTTGATAAGAAATGATTGCCGGTCTGAACTTAGTTTAGGATTAAATACATTTCCTTTGTTACGAAACCGATTGAGCGTCTGCCATCAAACGCCGTAGTTGTTGATTGAAGTGTTCGGTATTATATTTTCAGGATTACCATTGTTAATTGGGGGATTTACGGGAAATTAGTTTAATGTTGAAGCTTTTACTCCCAAGCTGGATTCTAATTGTGTGGTGGATAAAGCACAAACACGGCCCCAACTCCTCTTTGGCCTGGCATTTACCATGTGGCCACATATGCCACCATTTGGTGGCAAGTTGCGTAAATGTGTGAAACAAAAACAAAAAAATCAAACGGATATTGCGAAAAAATTACACATGCACACGTGTGTGTGTCTGTGTGTGTGTGCGGGGGGGGGGGAGGAGGACGAGGAGGAGGGAGTGTGTGTACTTGTATGTGTTTGAGCATCACTTGTGCCTACAGACAGATGCTGTAGCTGTAAAAAATAGTTGTCGAAAAAAGTGAGAAAAAAAGCAAAACACACATACGAGTACACGGAAAGACAGACAGGCACCACAGAGAACGAGGCCGCACATTTGAATGGCAAAAATTATAAAACGCACAGCATACATTTTTTTGTTCAACCATCAGGCAATAGCGATGGCTTCGGCATGAGTGTGTGTGAGTGTGTGTGTGTGTATATTTGTGTGTGTTTGGTGCCCCAACACAAATGGGGAAACAGCTGGCGCATTTGTGTGGCGGCAACGGTAACGTTCGGCATTTTACAGAACTTCAGTTCGCAATATGTTTTTCCAGATTTTTTGTAAATATTTGTATATATGTATAAATATATATGCACATGTCTTTTTTTATTTTTTATATGAAATACTCGTATGTATTTGTATATGTATAGTATATGTGCAGGCATGGCACTCCCAATTGTTCTTAGCTCATCATTACGGCTATGATTTTTTATTATTTAATTGAGTTCGACCGACATCGATGGCTTAAATGCGGATTGTGCGCAAAGTAGTGCGGTTGTGCAGACGCTAAAGGTTTTTCATAACGAATGTAAAAGTATTAGGATTAGCATTTCAGTCGATGACATGAAAGAGTGCAAATGTATACAGCAAAAAAGTTAAGATCAAATCTCCAAAATATACATGAAACGGAACAGTGAATGAGTGCGAACACTTAGTCCAACATCCCACTTCCAAATAAATGGCATAGTAAGTCTTTTACCTTTCGGTTATTCTGTGTGTCTTCCCAGGATGCTTCGACTCGATTCTACTTCAAATTAAAATTGTGCCAATTAAGTGAAACTACCAATTAAGTGAACTGTGCATACTTTCAGGAATTACTTCTCGATTGTACGCCACTCTAAGAAAATACCAAAGATTCAGTTTAAAGCAAACAAATGAACAGTTGGCAGAGAATGCCTGTAATGAGAGGGTACTGATTTGCATTTGAAAATAGCAAATTATTTTCACTTTACTGACTTGGGCAAACGATTTGAAGGTTTCTGAAGCTGAACTTTTGTTCATCTATCTATCGATCATTAGATCTTTTAAAACGAAACTTGGTAATGGGCTTTTGATCTGTTATAACCAACATAAACATGACAATATCAACTCATTATAATTATTATAGAGAGCTAAATGTAAAGGTTCCTTTAGAATAGCAGTAGGAAAAAGAAGAAGAAGTAAAGCGAAGCAACTCCTTTGTCGGCTTTTCTCAATTCTTAAAAAGTTTTAGTAAAAAAGATAGTTGGTAAGGGGACAGAGACATTTCTTTTGCCCGACATTTAATTTGTGGGAGAACATTAACGGCTTTTCTACGAGTTTTGCCTGAGTAGGAGGACAAACAAGGACTAATCATGAACTTACATTTAGTACAGATTGACATTTAGTTCAAATGGTTAACAAAGGATGCCTGCATGGAGTTCCATCATCCTGCAGACTTTGATTTGATTCATAGGGTCGAGGATACATTGGGATTCATTTTATCGCCATACATGAGTATGCAGAAATTCGACAAGATAGAATAGAATGAACAATAAAGGGCCACGATGACGACTACTTCGTGGTAGACTAGAAGTCGGAGTCATTTTTTAAATACGAGCGAATTCAATCCAGAACTGTAGAACTGTAGGAAATCCAATAAGATAAAGCTTCAAAAAGAGGAAATCGTGTCTCACAGAATCAAATTTTTTACTGAAGATTATTTAGCACTTACAAAGATGTTGTAATGTAATACATTTTTTTTTTTTGCAATTTAGCAATTCTCTTTTAGTGGATTACAATATTAGAATAATGCAGGAAAAACTGCACATTTGTTAGACAAATTTTAAATGCAGAAATGATGACATTCATGGTGTCATCAACAATTCGAGGCAGTATTAATATTAATAGATTTTAATAAAAGAAATTATTTAATTTCCTCAATTAAACGGTTAAGCATGAAAAATCACCTTTGCCAAATCTCCTGTTTGGTCTACTCTGGCACTATTCGCGATGATGACGCTAATGCTATTATTAACACTCGCTAAAAATGCTATACTGAGAAATATGTGTTCAGTTTTTCAAAAGAAGCTGGATGTTGTTGCCAGTGGCTCGTCCTGGAAGGCCGATACGGTCGATTGCTAGATTGCAGTACAAGATGCGAACAAATATTCGTTCATATATATGTATTGAATCCTTGTCCTTTGTAACATGTCGTTTTGCATTATGAACCTATGCACAGCATTGATTTTTTCTGGTGCAACAGTAATTCCTAGACGACCTTCATGAGATTTGCTCCAAGCTATTCGCGATTATATTTGGAGAGCCTACAAGAAAAGCAAGAGGAAGCCCCTCAGTCGACTGCAGTCTTAGACGCGCTCATAAAAGAAGCAGGAATAAAGAGGAATATTAAGGATTTCGCCGTTGCAATAAGGGGGGTGTAGTATCGGTGGAAATTATTTTCTTTTCGTGTACTTAACCGACTTGAATGAAATTTGAAACGAAGGTATATATAAGTGTGCAAAATAAATTGAATAGCTCGGTGGCCTTAAGCTAATATAGATATCTTAATAAAACCAAATTAGTTTAATAGGGAATGAATTAATTAAATTTAATTCATATCCATTTATTTAATTGCTATTATTAGAATAACTTACATAAATATTATCAAAAGACACAAAGTACAATCAACTTAAAAAGAAAGGATATGGTAATAAAAGATACAAGATTCTCAGATTGGTATTTCTGAGCCAACTGACATGTTCTGCGTAAACAGCGTATATGAAATCGGGCCCAGAACCCTAGCCTGTGGGGCACCAATACGAAAAGTCTTGACCATAGAGGAGATCTGTTGTGCAGATAACTCACACTTCCAATTCGTAATACAAGTACCCCAATACCAATAGACAATTGTTTGGCATTCAATTTGTACTGATAATTGAGCATGCTAATTAATTATTTATTCATTTAAAACCACTGGTAATAATAAAACTTGTAAGTTAAATGGAATGGATGCTCACAATATGTTAGACAATAGGAAATTACGTTTTTTTGCTCATCTTACTTTTTAGTTGTCGTTGAAAGCAGATCTGTCTCTTTGGAATCCCCCTTTAGAATTTGTGCTTCGAGCTTTGCTTGATAATTTGCCGACACGCTATAACATAAACAATTGTACGATAGTTTCATCTTTCTAAATACTTTTAGAGGTCGCAAGCTATTTACACTTCTATTTTATTTTTCGTTAGGAAACACTTTTTTGTAACTATATTACATTTGATCATTCATGGTCACCATTCGCAACTTACGATTCCTACATCTTTAGAAATAAACAATTTGTTTTTAAGCGATTCGGCCACAGTGATCGAATATCATTTTAAATTGGAGGGCACTTTCGATGTACATCAGTTTTTGAAATGTAAATGCACATAACCGATCCTTTATTTTCAAAGAATTAAAATAACATCGCAATAATTGTTTATACCTTTTAAACGCATAGTGATCCAGAAGTTTGAGTCTTGAGTACAAAATAGCCATTTAAGCCACGATAAAACCTATAGCAATTTATTTCGGTTCACATATCGACCATCTACATATGAACACCTAATTCTGTTTTTACACGGTCTTTTTTTACACGATTGTGATATAACATCTATACCTATTTTTGCATATGATAAATGTCTTTTTTTACACAGTAGTTTCTGGAACCAATCCACCGTGTAAAAACAGAATTAGGTGTACTTCCTTTGTGGCGCACAAATGTATGCTATAGTTCTTGTTTATACAGATTTTTTGATGGAAATCAGCGCTTTTAATTAATTAAATGTCCCTATGCCTAAACCTATCTTTTCAGATGAGCACAGCTTATACAAAGACTAAACATTGAGTAAGTGATAAGAATTAAGAGGAAACCAATAACAGCAAGAGCAACAATAATGCACATTTCTGTCGAGGTTAGTTCAACCACCTCCAATCAGCAGCAACAACAACAACAGGGCTTACATAATCAGCAGCAACAACAACAACACGGGGCAGGTAGTACAACAACAAGCACAACGAAGCGCCGCAATGCGGAGTCGAACAATAATAATAACAATAACAATAGTAGCAATAATAATAACAACAACAATACAAAAACAAAGCCCGTCGATACAAGTCCGTACCTAACACCTGAAAATCTAATCGAACGTACCGTCGATGTCCTTCTCGCAGAGCATCCCGGCGAGCTTGTCAAAACAGGGTCACCGCATGTGGTAAGAAGAAGAGGCCCCCAATAATAATACATTTACCTAGGCTCCCTCTAATGGTGATTTTTGTCCATATTCAGGTTTGCACGACCTTGCCCACGCATTGGCGGTCCAATAAAACATTGCCCATTGCCTTTAAGGTCCTGGCATTGGGCGAGGTTATGGACGGCACGATTGTAACCATACGAGCAGGGAACGATGAGAACTTTTGCGGTGAGCTGCGCAACTGCACGGCAGTGATGAAGAACCAGGTTGCTAAGTTCAACGATCTGCGGTTCGTGGGCCGCAGCGGAAGGGGTGAGTACTGCAATATTCGTAAATGAATATAGCTCTAGGTCTTTTGATGAGATCGACTTCACTTTAATACATTTATTGCAACAGTACTAGACAACTGTGTAAGTGTGTCTTATACTGGCATCGGACTTCATTGTCATCTGGCCTCCTAATCAAAAATGTCTTTAGAATACTCGCATAACTGCATACAAATTGTGTGTCAGGGCGACTCGCGATAGAAGTGAGACTTAGGGGTTATAGATATTGAAGTAATTTAATTTGATTTAATTTTTTAGATTCGTACATTTGGCCTGAAAAGAATGGCTAGAATATGGTTATCGCTGTCGGTTATCGAAGAAAATGGCTAGAAACACAACTATGAGTTGGTAGAAAATGGCTGGACAATCTCCAAAAAATGACTAGTAAGGAAGAAACCCTGCGCTATTGGTTTCATCACAGATAAGGTGGCCAATCCAGCATTTAAAGCCCTCACATAAGAAGTTTAACTTCAAAAATAGGCAAATATCTACCTTCTTTCAAGCATTTCATAAAGTAATAGAGTGATTAGTTTTTTGTTAATTAATGGTAATAATGTTGAGCACAGGCAGTTGTTACAAAAATCAATAATTACATATGTTAGTGTATGCGTTTTGCAAATGAAATCACACACTTTTGCTTTTAAAATGCATAATGCAACGTATGGTGGAGATATTTTTGAAAAACTCCTCGATGAATATCTTACAAAAAGTAATACCCACCCATTATGTCCAAGCGTATAATATGTACCATGATCCTGAAGATGTCATTTACTAATGCAGTGGAAAAAGGAGCTAAAATGCTCGAATTAGTGTCACTACCTTTATCGTATATAGCCGCCTAATCTGCCCCTATTACCACTCTTTTTAAATCTCAGCAACAAGGCCTTGCACCACAAAGGATCCGAAGATCCCAAACTAGTATTATAACAATTGTGAGAAAATATTATAAATTTCATGGCTCTTATGAAGAGTTAACTACAAGAACTACAGCGCAGCCAAAAATCTCTTATTCAGATGCTACACAGTTAAAAGCTGGAGATCTCAAAATTACCTACCGATAGGGAAATCGTCCCAATTATCCTTGTACATACACATCCTGCTAACAGACGCCGATACCAAAATTATGGGTATGCTGTACCCTGTACCCGAAGCATAATAGGCGAATATTTGGTTTATATAAAACAAAACAAACTTAACTTTCGTACAATCGTAATTGTATAAGTAAGTCCCTACTTCTTTTTCAAGTGTTTCTTCCCAATCGGTTAATAGGATAGAAAGGTGAAGTGGGTAACAATTTAACGCCAGTACTACGTCCTGAATGTGTGCCGGTCGCTCTTCTTGCTTCTGCCATGCGCGCATATAACATCGTACTACTGTGAACATATACAAGTATATGACCCGGTCTTATTGTTATAATTTTGAAAATCTTGGTATTTTATAAAAATCGATTTTAAATTTTGTATAACATATGCAAACACTTTTTTTAATCCTCAAAGCAGTCTAAAAAATCCTTTTCTAGAATGTTACGTGTCAAAACGATGTTCCCTGAGTTCTCTTTCAATTTATCCAGAAGTTCCACTGACCTAAATCAAGTTTATACGGTGGTTGTGGACCGATTTGTTTCTCATTTTTGGCGATATGGGCAGAAAGAACGACTGAAGTGGTGCAAGTTTTTTGGGGCCAAACGACATTTGACTTTTACGAGGCACAAAGTTCTCTTAAAATCGTGTGATTGATCTACTCAAAAGGCCAACAGAATCAGTAATGTCCCTAATTGTTAATAGAAGGGTTTTATTGGACGTGGTTCGTCTTCAACGCTTCAACGGTAACTTTTCCCATTTTTGCTTTGAATATAGCTCGAAAACAATTGGTTTGTTTATTTTCAGCATTTTTTCAATCAAAATACTGTACTTGTTCACTCAAGACTGAGAAATGTAAACCCACGACATTTCTAGAGTTTTAATTGCACAGTTATTTTTTCACAAATCAAGCAACTATGAGTACATACTTTTCGAACAAGATTCGAACTTAAATAAAATGAACAATTTGACTAATTTGGATAACTTCTCTTAATCGGAGGAATCGGAGGAATATGTCGACATTTGGGATGATATACTTCCAGTACACGAAGGATAAGTTTCAGAGCTACTTCCACCCGATTCCATATCACTTCCCAAATCTGGTAAGACATCATCTACATGTGTCTCTAATAAAAAATGATTGTTGTATTGCTGAATAACGCCCAGTCCTTGTGCTTCCGCCAAGAGTTTTGAAACCTTTATTTTCACCTCTGATCGAGAGTCTTCGTCCATGTCTTTAAATGTATGATATTGGCAATGAAATAACGTTTGGCGACTCTGCTTTGTTAAATATAATTGTATATCCGTTCCATTGAATTGGCCATTGTGAGCTTTGTGAACTTATGGCTCCTCTGTGGCTAACTGGTGAGGGAGTGGATTCTTCCTCTCTCCGCCAGGCACTCTAGAATCGTATTACGACCTGCCGCCTGTTACTTCCATTTCTGAACCAGAAGACTTTATGATATAGTACTACTATTAGCCATGTATTTGTCAATACAATCTGCCAAGTCACTAGTTGCAGTTGGCTCAGCAATTTGGATTATGACCCCGAATCCCTATTCTTGTTGTTAAGGTTCTCTGTGCTGTTTGATTTGGATATGTGTGTTATTGTTTTATCTGCGATATCTGGACTGGCATGTTTGTTGGGATGTTTGTTGTTAACTGATGCCTTGTCTTTGTCACTATGTTTGGTGTGGTAGAGAGAAAAGCAGATTTTCTATCCGTTTTTTTGTGGTACTGTAATGTGTACTATTTGAAAAGTATTGGACATTGTTAATCAGTGGATGACTCTTTGTTATACCCTGATTTTGGTTAGTTTTGTAGATGTGCAGCTGGGAGGACTAATTTTTTCACGATTGGATAATGTTGGTATCAGTGTTCTGACCTTGGACGTAAGTAATGCGAGTCCCTTGGCAGACTTTCTTGATAATTCTAGATTTGGGGCAATTGCTCCATCGCGTGAGTAAGGGAATCCAAACAGTGTGCACTCAGGCAGGGTATGTGTAGCAAATGTTATTAGTATTATGGAGCCTGTCTCGGCAAGTTTTACGCAGCTCTCTTGCTATATTTTCCTGACATTACAGACCGCTAGCTCTTTCAGCTTATTAAGGAAGAGTATTTCAAGTATGGTTCTGAGCTGGCGTTGGGTTGAGTAGGTCACACCTACATATGCACTGATGCACTGATGTGTTAGTTTGAGAAGCTTGTCAGTTAATTTTTGCTTTCTTGTTTCCATTAATAATAACTCCACCCCGAGGTCGATCATCTTCTGTTAAGGAATGTGAAAGTTTTTCATGCTGGGTTAGTCGTATAGTATTTCACATTAGTATAACTTTTCTTTGGATTATTAGAATTTGAATGGTATTTGAAATGGAGGTATAGGCATATAACTTACGTGTGCAAAGTTAAGTTAATCGAGTTGTGGAATTTTGGAATATCTGCGCAATACGATTGTCTACATAACACGTTCGTCTAATGTGCCCTAGACATTCTTCTAGATAGACGGATATAAGGAGTATGTATATGTCTGGGTAGATTTTAACATCTTAAGAGGGGTATGTATGTGGGGTTAGGTTTATTGGTTAGGCTGATATTTGGGATACAATATAATATTAGGAAATTTTGAAATACAAAAGTTATTAAAAATCATTAAACTTCGTTGGCTTGTCTTTTATATCGTTGGCGGACGGTCTGTCCTTAACTCCGTCTCAAAGCGAACTCTTCTTGTTGTCGTTGATGGAGCGTCTGTCCTACGCGGACCTACTTAATGTTGTCTAGGGTGCTTCTCTTTATACGCTTTTGTTTTACCAACCAACCCACATATATATATATATATATATATATATATATATATATATATATATATATATATATATAGTCTGTGAGGTCGACGATGCTTCGAACTTTTGAACTATCTTTATATCGAAATTACACTCATTTGCTTTTTAAAAAGTGGAGTAAGAAGCATAAACAGTTGTAATTTTCGGGACTTAATAGAACTAACAAACAGACCGACATCTCTAGAATGTTTCGACTTCTCATGCTCATCAAGAATGTGAACTTTTTCTAAAATACCCTTTTGGATACAGAGTATTTTTATGCTCTGTGTTTTCTCAGCTGCTCGAGAACGTTGCAAATATAGGATTCCTACTTGTATCAAAGCTTAGTAATCGCCTTTACCAGATACGCCTGCAAAGGGACCATTTGCATGGGTTGCTTTTGGAATCCGGTTATATGTCCTGCTTCTGTTTAAAAAGTACTTTGCTGCCCCTCTTCTATGAGTACTACTATGTGAAGGAAGCCACAACTTTGGCAATTGGTCAACCACTTGGCTGGCTCTGTTCGTACATACTCGTATATGAAACGACTTTGGTTTTCTTGCTCATCTTTTTGCGCTGCGCCCTGCACCCCTGGCAACAAATAAGATAAGTAGTCTGCAGTTAATTTTATATGTCTATTCAGGCGCGCTGCATGCCACCCTCCGCGTCCAGGCCGCGCACTGACAGTTGTCAATTTGACTTGAATTTTTTTTACATTTCCATTTTTTTTTTTTTTTTGGTTTTTTTTTTGGATCAACAGCGAACGTTATTGCTGTTCATTTCGTCAATTTATCACGAACGCAATTTAAAAATCAAATCGAGGGTGACAGACGACATACTGTGATAGAATTTTTCCTTGCTGATGATTTTGTTGCCAGCCAGCCAGCCTGCGATGATGCGTGGAAGATTCGATGGGATGATGGGACGATGGCCCGATGGCAGGATGGCAGCTCGGCGGACGCGGGCCAAATTAAATCAGCGTAACTGTTTATTCAAATCCCCAAACATAGCTAACAACGGTGGCGGCAACTTTTACTTTTTGCTACTTTTGTGCATTAAGTTATTTTTCTTATGACCATCCCCTCATG